TGAGCGTTCGTGGATCAGGAAGAGTTAACAGCAAATCCTTCACATCATCTCTTAAACCCCAATAGAATTGACTCATCAACGCTTCTTCATTCCAATTGATGTCGCATACTAATTGCCTAAAATCCGAAGCATAGACTGATGTAGAACGCATCTCTTGTCGTAGCGATCGGATCTTTGTTGTAGTCCATCGAACCTTATCGTGTTCACCAAATGCTTCCGCAAGTACTTCCAAAAAGGTTTCGAAGTTGTTTAATATGGATGATCGTTTCTCAAACAAAGGAGCAAACCATGATAGAGCTTGTCCCGTAAGTAAGGTTCCAACAAGCCCAACACGTGACTCCTCCGTTGGATATCATTCGGGCTATAAAACTGTTATCAACCTGATTTGATTGACGAATCCTCGAAACTTGGAACGTATTCCATCAAACTTATCTGGAAGGCTAACTCAAGGCTCTTTATGTTGTAGAACTAGTGGTTCTTGTCGAACCTGAGATAAAGTTGTTTCTCCAAGTGCCGAAATTTGAGGCTGGTGTAGTTTAGATTGTGCTATCCCAGATACTCCATCATTATGAAGCCTTGCCACCACTCCTTCAATCTCTGCAGTTCTCTGTGATAACGTAGCGAGGGCATTCATAATAGCATCTAACTTAGACTCCAAACTTTCTGTCATACTAATGTCTTGACCTCCAGCCATTCTAAAAGAAGGACAAAAATGACCCTATAAGAGGCAATATTGGTTTATAGGAGGGTAATCCACAACCTATAAAATGCCTTAAGAATTTCAAGAAGAGGGGTAATCCACTTTCTCCAAGAAGAATAAGACTCCAATATTGTAACAGAAAAAGTATCAGTTTAGAGGAGGGTAATCCGCAACCTCTAAAAAATGCTAGTATACCTTCAAGTAGAGGGGTAATCCACACTCTACTAAGAAAGAACTAGCTCTGATATCTCAAGTTAGTGTTGTCTCGACAAACTGTCACGGACACATAATACAGACTTGAAATCTAACAAGAAATTCAAGAAGAAGTGGCAGAACTAGATTAAACAGATGAGTACAAGAACAACACCAGAAAGGTGAGCTAGAACTCCAAGAGATGTGTTGTCGAGACTGAAGAACTCTTCAGCCTCGATCCTTATATATACTCCTACTTAGGAAGCTTCTCGAGCTACTTCTATTAACTAGGAAGCTTCTAAAAGGTTCCAGAGGCTTCCTTTCTAGAAGGTTCTAGAAACTTCTCGAGCTACTTCTATTAACTAGGAAGCTTCTAGAAAGTTCCAGGGGATTCCTTTCTAGAAGCTTCTAGAAACTTCTCTTCTAGAAGGTTCCAGAGACTTCCTTTCTAGAAGCTTCTAGAAACTTCTCTCTAAAAGGTTCCAGAGGCTTCTCTTCTAGAAGGTTCCAGAAGCTTGTTTTCTAAAAGGTTCTAGAAACTTCTCTCTAGAAAGTTCTAAGGAATATGTCCCTAACAATTAACTATTAATCTTCCTATCTTCTATTATTGGCTTCACAATTATATTCCATAACATCCAATTAATATTAGAAGCTTGTAAGATCTTCAAATATTTCTAAAATTCTTCATAATGGTCTTCTAAGATAATAAATTTATTTTTATTATAATTTTAAAATATATATTATATTTTTCTCAAAGATTCTAAATAAATTCTAAAAATATATGTAATATTTGTATAATGATATTATTATTTCAAAGCTATGAGGTATGAGATATGGCTTTTTAGATATTAAGTATTTAGGTATCTGCCTAAATACCTAAAAAGACATGAGGTTCTTTCATATGTTATTTCTACCTACTAATATTTATAGGTTTTAAATGAATAATACATGTAGATAGAAGGCTAATATAGACATTAGTTTCAATAATTAAATACTTACTTTATAATTTAAAAAATATTACATTAATTAAGATAATTGCCTCTAAGACTTATTAAAACTTTATATTTATAAAAAAAATTAATAAAAATCTTTTAACTTATTAAAATATTTTAATTTTTATTAAATAATCAATTAATTGAATGGACTTTTTAATTTTAATATTTTATATTAAAACAGCTTTAAATCATATTTTTAACATTTCCACCAATTAATATCCATTGATGCTATTCACAATCTTTTTTTAAAAAATAATGATAAAATCAAATGTCTAAGTATTCAAGTGTTTGGATTAACCAATCATAAGGATTTTGGATATTGTATCTAATATTGATGAGGTTGAATCAAAAAGTAGTAATTTAGAATATTATTTCTTAACATTGGATTGTATGTGTATATATGATTTAAGATATTACAAGATAAGCAAGAAAGTTAAAAAGGAAGTATAAAAGAGGAAGCTTCATTCAACTATGCTCATAGATCATCATAAGAACAAATGTTGTGTCATTTCTGTGTGTTTTGGCTTCTTACTAAGGTATTTAAGAGAAGTATTTTATGGTATGCTTTGACTATAATTGTCTCTATGAGTTCATTATAAAGCTCTTCCATTATGGTCTAGTTCTATGTAGGTCATTCTAATAAAAGTACAATTGTAGCAGTGTTGACCTTACTTTGAGTTGTACGGCTAATGTATTAAAAACCAATAACATTTCCAAGATAGAAGAGCAATAACAAAGTAGATTATTCTTCATAGCAAATTGTATCCAAGAGAATAGCAAGCTTTGAATTTTTACGTAAATAATTAAAATAGATATGATAGTTTAAAGACTTACATAATACGTTAGATGAGTCAAATATCTCCCAACTTACCATGGGCCTTGTTGGTCAAAGTCTTCCTATTGTCTAGATCCTGTTGGTTTAAAACTATTGTTAAGTTAATGGAATCAGACAACAAATGTCGAACATAATCCGAGGTTCTCCAAACCATGAACGGATTCACCTCCGATGGCGTATTCTGCCTGTATTGGGCACTCGTACAAATCCTATCGAGGCTCTGGAGAGTAACTAGCAGCGTTCACATCAAGGGCTCAGAGGGTAGTCAACTCACATAGCAATTAACGATATTCAATTCACAACATTCAGCTCGTGCAACGCATGGTTTCAATGCTGATCTAACGAGCACATCCGCCGTACCAGCTCGAATGAGCCCGCTCACGTTGCTACAGTAGATGTCGATACACCTGCCGTCATTGTTTCTGCTTTTTGACCAGCATACTCTCATCCCTAGTGTGAGCCCAGTTCTTACTTTGTGTTGTTTTACTTTCCTCGCCTTTCCTTGGCTTGCTCTCTGTTTTCCTTCTGGAACCTTCGTCCTCACCACGTTTGGAACTTCGCCCAGTTTCGAATCCTTCTCCACAAATCAAAACTGGAACTCATAATTTACGATTTGCTGTTGCAGCCATGCGGGGTACGCTCCTCGTCGTCTGCTTCGCCCTCGAAGCCCATATTTTCATGGTGGGCATGAGGGAGAGCCGTTCCAAAAAATGCATTGTTTCGTGCATTATTTTGTTTAGGTTGTACTAGAAATAATTTATGCGAAGATGTTTTGTGAAATAAAAAGAAAAAAAGACGAACTTTTCTGATTTGGAATTAAATATCCATACTATATATTTAGTTCATAAATAATATTGAGAAGACAAGATGAGATACACATAGTAAAATCATTAAAATTTTATAGTAGAGACTTTAAAAAGTTTATGTAGTTGTAGAAAAAACTTATATTTTTGTATATATTCAATGCTCTATAATTTTCAGTCATATACTTAAATCTAAAAGTGAACAAAGATAATATGTGTTTTCATGCCAAAAAAACAATGCTAAAAGTAATTAAGAAGAAAAACTTTTATTTTTTAAAATTAATTAAATTTCTCAAAAAAAATTGAATTTAAATTATTCCTACACTTATAGTACTTCCGAATATGATTTTTATTTACTGTTTTAGTTTTTGAATTGACCAGAACCAATAAAGTTAAATTCTAATTTCATAAAAGAGATTGTTCAAGTATATTTGGACGTGTAATAGAAAAAAAGTTTTTACTTAGTGAAATAGATTTATTTTTATTATTGCGTTTAGATGATAAAATACTCATAAAAAAATTAAAAAATTAAAAAAATGGCCATAAATAAATTTTAGGACTCAAAAATCTACTCTTAAATTCTGTAATGACTAACTTTGAGTCTTGCTGTGAATCATCCCTTCCAAAAAATAACTTTGTAGTTTTGATTTCATTGGTCCTCATTACAAACCCAACACCATTACACCAATTATAGTCTAAAAGATAACAAAAGAAAAAACACCCATCCAACCATCTATCCATACATTCATTCATTCCTTCCATCCGTACATCCATCATCATTTCTTCCTTTCATTGTTTCTTTCAATTGTTGATTGATTCGTCCATCGAATATCCAAAGTTGTCCTGTTGTGGACCATCTACTTAATAATAATGATATTTATAAAGTAATGTATCAATGGAAATCAAATCGAATGAAGGGCGATAACAATGCAGCGTTTTCTACTTAATCGTCAAACAAGCATAAATCAACACAGTCCACTTTTTTTCGCAGGAGGCGACTGTTTTCTCTTTTGGTATGAAGCTTTGTCAACTAGCAATATATCGTTGAAAACGACTCGTGGCGGGGTTTGAGCACGTCCAGGCTGCAACGTCCTTCACTGTGGCAGGCTTGTCCCCAATCGGAGTGTCGAAAACAGAAAGCGGGGAGTGCAACAAAAATCCGAGAGTCTATTTAAAAGGAGATTTTAGCGCCACCCCAGGGGCTCGAACCCTGGACCACAAGGTTAAGAGCCTTGCGCTCTGCCAACTGAGCTAGGACGGCTGCAAATCACTAACGTCCCCGCAAACACGATGTCAAGCCCGCTGCTATCGGATAAAAACCTACGCCACCCCAATTTATACTCTTGTTTCCCCACTAAATATCGGAAGGGTGACGATACCGAACTAGTTTGCAAGAAGTAGATCTATTTCACAAATTGGTTGACCTTCACACTTGGAACTCGTGTCCTGGCTCTGCTGGCTTGGATCATGTATCATGAGGGTGAAAAAAAATCAAAACCTGATTCTGTATATGATTGATTTGTTGGATGTTTTGAAACCTGTCAATGATTGTGTACTGACAGCAATAATTTCTAACAAATCCCCAGCTTTCACGTGACCTATACTTCATTAATTACAATCCTGTGTGTTCTGAGAATCACAGGCCTGGTACTAAGTATGTTTCAAGCGACACGCTGACCACACAAGAGACATGAGAACCCACGGCAACTTGAGACACTGACTGTAGGAGTTAGCGAAGACTGCATATTCCGTCTGAGGCTAGACCTAGTCACAAAGAAAACTCTTTTTTCTTCAATCGCGGAATGCAACTAACACGGCATACATCTAGAACTCTAAATTGTATCAAGCATTTCTAAAATGAACATTTCCCTTGCCGTGACAGATGCACGGCGAGTGCACTGGGCTGCGAATGTCTGAGCTTTCCATATTCAGCTGCAGCAATGCCAAATTACGAACACAATAAGACTAACGAAAGCAAAGACAGAAAAGTGAGATCGTGCAAAAACACACATTATATTCAAAACAATATAACTAGGTCGACATTTTCGGTAGCGACAATAAGTTGAAAATATTACGTACAGGAATTACAAAGTACTTGCTTAAGAACAAAAATTTAATGAACAAGTTACACACCGACATAGCTAGTGATCATCAATCACTGCTATCTGCAGTCAGCTGACAAGAGCTCCAGCATCTCCACGACGTCATTGCATCTATACATGCATTCTCCATACTCTTGGACGCGATCGTGTTGCAGCCCCTTTATCAGTTAAGTATGACATCTGTATAAGTATGCAAGTCAATACAGGCAAAACTCACAAGGAAACTATTGTTAGACAAAACTCAGCAGGCACTCCAAAATCCATCAGGTCAATCTTACGGGAATTCATCGTCAAAATCTCTTTCAAACTTTCTAGGTAGACTTTCTCTACATTGACTCTCTCATCATTACAATCGCAATAGAGATTGGATATGACATCTTGACAAGCACAAATTAGTACACATGGTTGTTGTCTAAAATCACAAGCACAAAAATTTCAACCATGAACCTTTATGACGATAACCTCTATATCAGCTTAAAATCCACGAATCTAGAGACAATGCAGAAGTATGGATGAAAGAATAGTCAAAAAAAGGATCAGGCCTGTAATATGTTTTATCATCCTCCATCCTACCTTCCATTTGTTGCCATCCACAACGTCTAAAATCCATAGCGATGTAACCTCAAAGCAAAAAATTCAGTCAGATCGGTATATACCAGTCCGGCTGCACAACGTGTTCACCGTTTGATGATGGCTGAGTTCCTTCCGCAATTATAACATTGCCAACTATTTGCCCAATACTTTAAAACCACAGGATGTCCTAGCTATATTACGCTCTGCATTAGATGGCCAGTTAAGACCGTGAAGGAGCTTCTTCCTCTTTAGAATCCTCTAACCATGCTTCAAGTTTAGCTGCCTGTTCTGCTTGTAATTTTGCATAACCCTCAACTACCTCAGGTTCTTCCAAATCCAACTCTGGATGTTCAGGCTCTTCATCTTGCTCATGATCCCCTTGTGTCGGCAAGTTTTGAAGATCAAACTGGTCCGCCCGCCCATCACTTTCAGTCCCTTCTCTCCGACTAAGGTTTCGAAGGGCAGTACTTGGAAGCCTTAACCAATCAGCCAACTTGGTTTGACTCTCGGTTATGCCAGGAAGCCGTTGCTCCTCATGTTCACGAGCCAGTTCGGTGTCATTACTATTAATTGGAGCGTCTAATCTTGTGGCCGAGGTTACTCCAGTATCAGCTGTTTCCAGCGATGGTTTGCCTGGTTTTTCGTGCGCAGATTCTCGCAAATTTACAGCAGAAAAGCTTCGAACCAAGGATGGTTTACGAGAGGAATCTGACGTACTGCCAGAACGAATACCCCCCGCACCGACTATGTGACCAGCTTTTTGAATTGCAGACTCCAGAACATTCCAATACGGGATATTCGGTATGTAACCACCATGAGAACCCGGAGTAGAAGCACTATATACTGGAAGATTTGGTACAACGCTGACATTTGTGTCAATGCCCTGTTTAACAATATCTCTGTCCTTAGCTTCCAAAGTACTAGGCATAGACATCGTCACACTGCTGGCCCTCTGATAAGCTGAGTTGAATAAACTGCTTACATAACCCGAGGTCTCTGCTTGAGTCGAAGGCAAATTTCCGTTATCCTGCCACTTCCAAAAAGTCAACTATTAAATAGAACAAGCATAGAAAAAAGCAGCGTCCTTTACACTAGGAAAGGGGAACGAAGTGTACTCTCAGTACATTGGAATCCGTTAACAGGTAATTTTCTTATATCTAAGATCTGGTGCCGCTAGGAGAGTGAAGCACTGCGAAGGAGAAAAGATAGCAATAAAGGATCTGAGGGCAAATAGAATCCAAATAAACGGTGAAGCTTTACTTGAGAAGATGATAACCGAGATGAGCCAAAAGGGAATTCTTTCACTGAATTTAACACTGAGGATGATTCTCTTGAACCTTCCAGGATAGCGCCCTCCAAGGGTATTCCGTGTTTAGTCTCTTGCTGCAACCCCGAGAACGGCAAAGCACCATGATGGGTAGCAGACCTAGGCAGGTGTGCGATAGGGCGTCGACTGCTCCTTTGTGAATCAAGACATGACATTATATACTATGAGTATTGCATACATATGTGGTGTACGATATACAATTACATTCGCTACGAATAACCATGCGAAGATTCAGAATCAGAAAGCAAAATGAATAGCGAACAAGGGCGAGAAACTGAAGTAGCACACCAATAACAAAAACTAATTGGACACACAAAGAGATTGACTTTGCGTGCTCACTTTACAGGGTGGTGAAGAGTTGGCAGGAGTTGAAGACTAGCATTAAGTGTGGCAATCATTTTGCTGAACACAGGGGGCCCAACCTCTTTCATTGTTTTCACGGATGTGAGGGCATCTCTCACATCTTCTGTGTACAGCATAACCTCTTGTACTTCTTCTACAATTTGGCTCTGCTTGAAAAGCAAGCGACTGAACCGCTATTAATATCATGATCGTCTTTATCATGCACAATAACGAACAACTGCTTGCGCAGATAGGTAGATCTCTAAAAAGATTTATAAAAACAATAATTAAAAGAAAGGAAAAATAACAATCGAATCAAGCAGCTGACTATCACATAGATCTGATCACAAAGGCGGATAACTGTCGTGAGAAATAAGAATCATCATTAGAATCCTCCTTCAACTCCACGATTAATTTTGAGCACCCGCAAAGTTTGACCTAAAGTAGCGACAGAAAAGAGATTCAACCTTAAGCGCTAGTAAACCTGGAACAGCCTTGTGCACGTGCTGCTGCACGAAGTAAAGACCAACTGACGGCTCATTGGCGACGTCTTTCACCATGTCCGTTACCGAGTTATGGACTGGATTGGAGAAAAACAAACAAACAAATAAATAGATAAACAAAACGAAACAAATAAATAAAATCTCTAGTTACATTATCACATGATTTTGATTGATATTCCATCACAATCAACAACGATGGACGAAACAAAACATGCGATAGATTTATGCATACCGCCTTGAAGAATATCCCTAGGCGCAGAGGGCTGCATCTTCGCCATGCCAACCAGACAACGCAATAAATACCTCCCTCAATTCCCTTTCGACTTCGATAACCAGACCTTGCAAGGAGGCATGCATATCACTAGTACATCTGCAATTAAGCCATTAATCCTCAAAGTCAAGTGCGCAATGTGCAAAGTATTTCCACGACAGCCAATCCCTGGCGTCGGCAAACCAATCCAAATTTGAAATCGACTAATCCCTAAATTCCAGCACCGTTAACACTAACTCCTAAACGCTGAGTAATCCTTTGTTATCCTGTATCCGCTTCTTAGTAACAAGGGTCGACCACAAACCCTCATCGTAATGAACACCTCGTGGAGTCACATCTAAAATAAACGCGGCCACACTTTCAGATATCAAGCTCTGCGTCAAGCTCTCGGAAACACTACTATCAGCACACGCACACACGCACACACATGAACCAGAATATCGCTATGGTTGCTAAGAAAGCGTAGACAAGTTTGCTATTCAAGGGCACATTGGCAAACAACCATCGTCAAGTAATTCAGAAGTCTTCAAGTCCCTTGACGACGATGATCTTCACATGTTCAAAAATGTCTAAACATACCTATACCAGTTGTATCTACAGGATCGGTTGATGTGAAGAATGTTCACCTGAGCTGAAATTATATATCAAAGTAATCGTAAATCAAATAATCAACAACTTCAAATTGTTGCAAGAAACAAAATTTAATCATGTTTAGAAATTTTAAGTTTATAATTGTTATTTTAACCATGTCTCATAATCATGTTGTTTGAGTATTTTCTAAAAAAAGAGCATGGTGTGTAATAAAATTATATAAATTTAAGAACAAAAAGTATGCATCAAGGTTTTTAAGACTTGAAAAAATAAATAAATAAATAAAAATGTAAAGTAGTAAGCCAAGTCTTTTTTAATATTTTTTTCCTGATTTATTTTTATTCTAAATTCACTATTTTATTGAAATTTTAAAAATGTAAAAATGATAATAACATTTAAAATACATCATTAGTATTTTATCTTAGAAGTTACTTTTGGATTTTATTTATTTATTTATTTATTTATTTTTTCACAATTTCAAAAGTAATACACAGTAAGGAGTCTTTACACTCAAGGGGACAAGTGAAGAGGTTGTAACTTTATTTATTTATTTATTTATTGATTGATTGAAATTATAATCTTTGCTTGGCTGGTTTTATACTTAAGAAAATTAGCCCTAGGATCTTAAGAAAAGATTATAAAGGTGAATGACTTTTGTTTCTACATAACTTAAACAATGTTGTTGTCCGAGATTCATTTCATGACCTCTCTTCACTTAATAGTGTCTCCGAGAGTGAAGGCTTAAAATAAAACCACACAAAAAACCTTTGTTATATGATTTTTCAAAGTAGAGTTGTAGGTATGAAGACTCCTTTAACGAGATGAGTACCAATTGGAAGAGAGGAGTACCGTCTCCAACAGGGCCGATTGCAGTGGAGTCTACCGCTGGAGATACTCTTGAACAGTAGCTGCCTTGGCGAGCTTGTCGCCGGCACTGGCAATGGCGCAAGGGAGATGGCGTTCGAGGACCGAACGAGACGGAAAAATTGATTGCGATGAGCACCAGAACTTGATCGATGAAGGTGGGTTAGCTGCGGGCTAATAACTTCATTAGCATACGATTCTAGCTGTGAGATTTTTTAGTCTCTGGGTTGACTAGTTGGGAGATAAACCCTAGTGACTGGGAGTCTAAGCAGGCACGAGAAGAGAAGATGCGTTACATCGTGGGCGCTCGTTACAAATGTGAGGGCTAGGCGATCGGACTTTGCACATGGATTGAATCGCAAGTGGAAGAGTATTTGCAGGAGCGAACACGATTCTGTCGTTGGGTGTGGGAGTTCAATGGGTTCTTGGTCGCGGCCTTGTGCTGCGATTTCGGATCTTCCGTTGCTGCTGGAAACATAGCGATTGAGCTGGGGTGTTGCGAGTATTGAGGGATTGAACCAGGAGATCCGGATGAAAGAAAGTTTTTGCATCGTGGTCAATTGGGAGGAACGCTATGGCTTCAAAACTTGAGGTCAGTTTTAAAGGATCGCCGTTGAAGTTGGATTTTTGGAATGGTAGAGGTGGGTGTTAGGGATGTTGATTTTTTACATCGTTGAGCGTTTCAAAGTGTCATGGATCGCTCCATGGGCGCTCGCTCGATGATCGAGTACTGGTCTTGATTAATAGGATATTGCACAATTGGAAGTAACACTGGCACCTAAGCAGGATTCTGGATTTTCAGAGGTGGTTCGTAGGTGCCTCTGCATGATTTCGATATGTGCATTCAGTTGATTGTGGAGTAAAATGAATTTTTTCTTGGGTGGTGACGTGCAGCTGCCATCCTAAATTTCTTAACTAAAACTCTTAGCGGGTCGAAACATACATCATCTAAAAAACTGCTCTAAAAAACAGGTGGTTCCGTTCAAATTTTGTACTCAAGGGCGTTGCAAATGTGATTAATCTCGTTGTGTATGCGTGCACAGGTGCGTGTTGAGGGACGGGATTCTGACAGTAATGGTTACGAGACGATATGTTGGGGCTGCAAGCTGCAATTAACACTGCCGTGTTATTCTCCCATATTCAAGTGTGGATACTGCGGTGCGGTTACTGTCCACGAGACATTTCCTAAGCCTCGGTCACGTTGGAGTCTTCCACCAGGATGCATCTCTCTCTTGGACCATTTCTTGGTCACTTTTGTCTTCCTCCTCGTGCTCCTCATCATTGGTGAGGTTGCAGACTTCTCCACCCTCCTCTAGTGATAGTCTTTCATACCAGAAGCATTGGTGTAGTTACTAAATCCTTTCACATCCAAGCTGGAAATGACTTCCAGCATTCTAGGGAATTTGTACTAATGCGACGTGTGTGTCTGGACGCAGGTGGGGGTGTATGGACTACCTTTCCTATTTTGTTCCCAAGTGTTTCAGTTGGTTTCTTTTTTCATTCGACCATCACTGCCCTTCTTGCATTTTACACACTTTTCAACTACATGTTGGCGGCCTTCATTCCAGCAGGGCCTCCGCCTCCAGTTGAATGGGGCCAGGTCGAAGTGGTCGATCGAGGTCGATTAGAGAATTACAGGTTTTGTGATCATTGTCAGAAACCCAAGCATCCTGCTGCTCATCACTGTCGCACTTGCAGAGCGTGCGTCATGGAAATGGATCATCACTGCCCTTTTGTATGCCAGTATTTTCTAACCATCTCATCCTTCTTTTATGGGCGATGTTAATGGACTACGTAACCTGCAGAAATTATATAATTCAAATAACTGCAAACCCGAACTCTTAACCTCGTTTGTTTGTGCGTTTTACAGATTGGAAATTGCGTGGGTGCAAACAATCATAGATACTTTATTCTCTTTCTTGTGCTCACAATGGTCAGCTGCCTTTATGTACTTGCTATGGCTGTTTACACATACAGTCACTCAACCATGTCTTTGACAAAGACTCTGCATGAGCCATCTGAACCTGGAGCGTTAGGCTCCAGGTTGGATCATCTGGTCAATATGTGGAGTTCCTTACTCCTAGACAATGAAATGGAAGTTACCATCCGGTATGTCGGGTTGCTGTACTTATGTATAATAAGCCTTGCACTGCTTGTTGCAGTTGGCCTCTTGCTCTATCAGCAGTTGGCGCTTATATACCAAGGTCAGACTTACCTAGACTCCCTCTCTGCTGCGAATGACGGCAATCCTGGATCAGGGAAGGAAGGCTGGGCAAATCTTCAGCGATTCTTTGGTCAAAGGTATTCTTGACCTCTACTTTTCTTGTGAATCAATCCCAAGAAATTCATGCTGGATGAGTCTCTAATGTTGGCTCATGTTTGACCATAAACAGGGAATCGTCCAGTACAGAGCTTTAGGTTCAAACACGGTTCAAGTTTTTGCTGCTTTATTAAGAGCAGACTAGGCTTACAATGTAATTTTTGCACGATAGCCTTATGTGATGTCACAAAGATGATCAACTAGAGAACCTCTTGTTCTTAGTCTGCATAGTTGTATTCTTACACAAGCATTTCCGTTTGTTTCACAACCACAGAGAAAGCACTAAGTGTGTATTACGATATTTTGAACTGCAGACGTGGACGCTCTCCTTACCTGGGATCGTTCCGTTGGAACAAGTTAAAACATACAGCCTGGAAGCTCACGTCGGTGGCTTTTCTCGTGGCGATTTTCGTGACATGCCGGAATGTGCAGACTCTCGGGGCATAAACGGTGAAAGGATATTGTTGTGGTACCTCTCAAACTTCAAAAGCCGATCAGTACTCGGCTCCACTAGCAATGGAATATGAGCTGGTATTGCATCACTTCAATATTCTCAAACCTTCTGCGCACTTCGCCTCTAAGGGTTCCTGGAGGAGGCATCGAATAGAACACACGGTCAGTGTACCCACAAGAGTGAATCCGAATTAGTCACGTCGGAGAAGCTACTCATTGAGAATTACACACCTTGACAGGTTCGAGAATTCCTACAGTAATGCTCAATAGCATCGCTCAAGACGATATCAACTTCTTGTGAAAAGGTCAAGAATCTTCTTGTAATGTGCACTTGACAGTAGAAAAGTCCGAAATCTAGCCACGAAAGAATCTTACATGCATTGAGCTCCAGATCCCTACGAACCGTAAATTTTTTATGTGCATTGGGTGGTATAGTGTTCAGAGAATTGGCTTTATTCGCTTGCCACAAAAGCTGTGGGAAGCTCTACATTGTCTAAATTATCATGTACCCAATTCTGGATTGCCTATTGGAATTGTGATCAGAAACAGCTTTCTTGGTCGTAGTCGCTGCTTGATCATGTGATGGTTTCATGTTAAGCTCTAGTGCTGAGTCTCGTACTTTTAATCCAACCTACTAATCTGAGTAGATGTCTTCTAAAAGAAGTAAGCTGTTCGAGAGACTAGCAAATTGAAGTTTATTGTCTAAACTTCAACATATGAGTATTTTGTGAGCTAATCGAGTGTGGAAGAATCTGTATAAAAACGTAGATAGCTCAGCATAAGAATTGATGTCATTCATGTTCACAATGTGGTGATAAACAAGGATGAAATCAAAGTTAACCAGAGATGTTGTTCATCTATATTTCTAAAATCTTCCTGGCTAATGTGAAACGTTACATGCATCTATCAGGAAGTAGTTTTAGGCAATCATACATGTAATGGATTTGGTATTTGGTAGTAAACAAGTCTCTATTTAGATTTTTTTCTTCCTTTTTATTTTTATCTGTTTTCTGATTACTTCCTTATTTGATAGTTTGATATCCAGACGTAGATTTCAATATCAGAATTGTGTATCTTTTTTAAAAAAAATGCATACATATATTTAGTATATATTTCATCAAATGTAATGAGGTTTGAAAGTTAATGATTACAACATTATAATACATGTATGCATGATAATTTTTTTTTAAACATTTATTCTGTAAATGTTATTTTAAAGAATCCTTTTTGAAAATAATCCACTAGTATTCGTATTTTGTATTTTATATTAGAATTTGGATGATTTTAAAATAAGAGCCATAGACATATATGGTACATTCTTTGTAATATTACAAAAAAAATCTTAATCAAGATGGAACAAAATTTTAAATATAAAGCATACAATCCATCCACCACTTAAAAATTGTACTACAATTTCAAAGAAGCAATATACAAAATAATTTTTCCATCACTTAAGAACTTCATTTTTGTTATATTGTACACAAATATTTTTCTACTTCTTGATGGTTCTTCTAAAAAATATAACTTTTTAAGATTGTTATCTAGTGAAGTAAAGATATCCAAATATATAGTGCATTATTTATCATTCAACTTTGGCACATATTTGTCTATTATTTGTTTAAATCATCACAATCTTATTTTTAAATGATCTATAAATATTTTATTTATAGCATTTTCATTCCAATTCCTTTTCTACAAAAAAATCAATAAAAAAATAATACTTTGATTGATTTTTAAAGAATTTCATCAAGCAAAAATAATATATAATCTAATATCTCTCTTTTTATTGGCCTCTAAATTCTATAATTGTGAATCAATTAGTAATCCACATCATCACAAAAACTTTCTTTAAACTTGTCACATAGCCTTTGTGAATGTACATATCAACATTGAAAAAGAATAATAAGAAACAATGTTCTTAACTACTTCTTCTTTTTCATTATAAAGGCTTCTTCTAAGTAATGATTCCACTCTTTGTTATCCTCTAAAAATCCCATTTTAAACATATACTTTTAAAATTTGGTTGCAATATTTTATTTATAGTATACAAATCTTCAAATGAAGGTAATTTATGTACTATTTTTAGAAGAAGCAAATAATAGAATCTTCTTTCTTGATATTTGTATTATCAAGAAATCTCCATAAATTCACACATTTCAAAAAATGCCATCAAAGTTTTTTTTTTTTTTTTTTTTTTTTTTTTTTTTTTTTTTTCTTTATGGACTAAGACTTTTGGTGGTATATCATTTGGATAAAGAATTACTTGATGCATTCCAAAAAGATGTAATGCCAATTAAATCTCATTTAGAATTTTTGAATACATTTTTATTTCAAATAAACACTATGATGCCTTTAGAGTTCTAATATATCCTACATTAATATGTTACTTGAATTCATCCTCTTTTTTTCCAATTTTTATTGTTGCACAATTATGCCTTTTATAAATATACTTAAAAAGATATTTTACAATACAAATTAAAGTACAAATATTAATGTTGATATAATAATACTTTTTGTTAAGAATAGAATTGCATACAATAATATCACAATTATTTAATATATGATTGCCAACATTGAAAATTCTTCCATCATTCTTTCTATAATATTGGAGATACCAATCACCATCCATTGATATTACTTCATGATATTCTTTTGAATATCTCTCTTAACATATTCCATTCTTTATGCATGGAACTTGCATATTTTGAGATCGACATGGACTATAAACTATGCAAGAGTTCATTATTTTAAATAAAATTAGATTTTTATTTATTTATTTATTTATTTTCTTCTTAAAAATTTTATACAAACAATCCTATTAATATTGATGAAATATTTTATTTTGTTGTTTTTTCAAAAAAAAAAAAAAATGTATGTGCAAAAGACCTCACTTTGAAATTCAATAGTATGCACTCTTAAAAATGGTTGTTTTAAATTATAATTTAATAAATATCTTCAATCAATGGACAATACTTGAATTCAAATTTTTTTGATAACAAATCAAGACAATCCTTCGACCATTGTCTTAGAAAGAATGTACTTGAGATCTCTGGCCATTGCAAATTTATAATCATTGTACCAAATATATGTTAAAGTTAAAAGTAACAAATGGCTATAAAATCTTAGAAAATCTTAAATAGATTTTTTGTACTTTTAATATAAGACAACAAAAGACTTATCTTTTACCTTAGATTTTCCATGTCAATTTTTTGGTTTTGCACATCTTTGCCAATCCTTGATATACATCTATATGTAACCTATTTTAATTCATATTAAAGCATCTCAATTGATTTTGCTATGTTGTTGTTCAAATATCCATAATAAATTCTTATAGTAATTTTTTTTCTCATAAGATAGTTGATTATTTATTATATTTTAGAAATAATTGATATGAATAAAACTCTATTTTTAGTAATATATGCAATCAATGTATTTTCACTCCCATCTTCATTAGCATTTATATTTTTGTGTTTCATTTGGCCATGCCATCCAAATTCTTTGCATCAAAAAAAAATAACATAGTAGACTAGCAATTATGTAGGATGTCCGTGAACTAATTGCAATGCACCTCCTTTCTATTAAATAACTATATTTCTCATTCCCTCTACCTTTGTTTCATTATCTAACATAATGATTGCAACCTTATTAGAAGTTAGAAGTTTATAACATCTTTTTTTGGCATCTTTATTAAAATAAAGCAATACATGTATATCATTACCACTCATCTTTTTTTTTGCTTTAAAAAATATGTAATAAGCTTATAGGCAAAGCAAAAAAAATATCTATTATTTTCTCAAACATTCTTGAAGTTGTTATAAATATATATATTTTTATTCCAATAATTACCTATATAATTAGGTAGAAGTAGATAAAAGTAGATTAATTTTATAATATCTTCTAAAAAAGCTTCTTTGAAGCTTGATAGATACAGTTATGACTTTATATGTATTTAAAATTGATTAATAGATTAAAAACTTAGTTAACAAATTAACCACATAGTTGTCACGGACATACACATGTAAGCCAGTAATTACATGTGTAAATAGGTAGAAGTAAGTAAAAGTAGATAAAAGTAAGTTAATTCTATAGTATTTGGTATGGAAGCTTTTTAGAAGCTTCATGGACGTTGCTTTGACTTTATAGGTGTCTTTAATTGAGTTTTTGGGATTAGAAATGTGGTCAAGAAGTTGGCCATGTGCCACACATGTTCTTAGCTTAAAGACCAAGCTAACTATGTGGCCCACACATAAAAGAACTTACCTTGTGAGTCAAGACATGTGCCCTACAAAGTCAACATATATTAGAGGTCCTATAGAACGTCGCCATGTAGCCCCTAGTAAGATAGTATATATAGAGACAAGAATGAAGCCTTCTTTACTCTTGTCAATTCCTTTCTTGCTTTTAGTCTAGTTTCAAGGGTCTCTAGTTTTCTTATCTTTTGGCAACAACCATTCTAATTTCTTTCTTAATATACATAACAAGTTATTTCTATTTTTTCATCTTTCTTTAAGAGAAATCTCACTTGTTTATTTGTCTTTATCAAGTTCTTGTCCTTGACAGATTGACAAGAGTACACTTACAACATCAAAGCTTTGTCTAATCTTGATTAAGAGTAAATTATCATTTTTTCTTGATAAGACATAAGCATATTAGAAGTTACGGATTACCTTCTTCTAAATTGATATTTTTTTTGTTCTTAAGTCCTCTCTTGTATTTGTTTAGGGCGATATTAGACATCTTCTCTTTTCTAAGTGTTATCATGGTTGAACTTGCTGAAATGAAGAGTGCAATGGCACAAATGCAAGAACAATTGAGGGAGTTAATGCTTTCGATGCATAAACTCAATTTACCACCACAAAGAACAAAAATATTGGCAGGAAGTGAAAATATAGAAATGATTGGAGCTGCTTCAACATTTGCACCAAATCATGTCCCTCCTCTTATGGTGGAACATCCTTCCAATGTTAGAGAACCAAAAATTGCCCTATCCGAGAAGTTTGATGGCACCAGATCAAAGTTTATGAGATTTATCAATCAAGTATAACTTATGATTGAACTTCAACTCCAAAGCTATCCAACTCCATGATCGCAAGTTAGATTCATTGATACGCTTCTTTCAAGTTTAACATTATCATGGTTTTCATCTTTTCTTAAACAATGAGATCTAATATTGGATAATCTAGAGGCTTTTTTGGCAGAGTTTCGATCCATGTATGGAAAACATGATGTAATTCATGTTGCAACCAATAAGATCCATATTTTACGACAAGGCAATCGATCAATAACATTGTATGCTTCACAATTTTGACAACTTGCAACTGATATCATGTGGGATGATGCTGCATTTATTAGCCAATTTCTCTACAGATTACAATATGAGGTAAAAAAATTAATGCTCAACTTACCTGATCCTCAAACATTGAGTCAAGCAATTGACTTTGCTATGAAGTGCGACAATCACCTTTTTAAATTCTGATTTGAGAACCGTACAAGTGGACCTCAACGTTACTATAATTCAATAGCAACATCAACATCTCTTTAATACATACATTTGGAAGTAGAG